AGGAGAGAGGTGAGGTCTCTGCCACCAGCTGAACTGTGAATCTCTCACTGTAAACAAAACACTACTCTCTGGCAGCGCATATTCACTGTAACACTTCAATGATGCCACGCTGTCAAAAAGGCTAAGCGCAAGGGAAAAAAAGACACGTAGTGCAAACCGGAGCACTACGGTGCAACTCCTGCCGCCTGTCTATCATCAGCTCAGACGGCGGCCCATAAAATATGCAGCGCGTGTGGTGGAGTCAATCAGCTAAAGCCCTGTCCCGCGGCCCACCACGCCCCGCGGGATCTGCCAGAGATGGGGCTTTCCCAGCCTCTTGGATACTATCCTCAAAATCCACTTAACTTTCATTTAGCTGCCACTGTTTGAGGACTTCAGCTCTGGTGAGAGCAGTCCCTGCACGGTTCAAGCCTCGCTTGCAGCCCTATAGGGCATTTTGGGTATTTACTCAAGTAAAATACAGAGCTCCCCATCTCTCTGTCAGCCGCTGGGAGTTTTTTTCTTATTTCAATCTTCTGCCGCACATAAACAGAGCAGTTGCCTGCGAGATGACGGATATTTAGGGCAGTGCGTCTGCAGTACATCTCACAGGGAGGCTCTTTCATGTCGGCAGAATATGTCTGCTGCTTGCCAGGCGCATCAAGCTCACATCTCGTCTTCATTCATGTCTCACTTACAGTCATGGTGATGCAACACAGCACTCTTGAAGTGAGGATATCTGCCAAAGGTTTTACATTGTCAACTTACTTTTAAGCTTTTTAGATTTTGTCATTGTGAAGATTCATATTTTTAGTCTGTATATGAATAGTTTGAAGTATATGTCTTTTTTAATATTAAGGCACTTTATCCTGTTATTTTGCACTTTGGTGAAATTTCATATTTTTATTCAGTATATGCATACTAATAAACTGAAGTGTATATATATTTTTTTCAATCCAATCCAATTCCAATTTAATATGCAAAGAAAATGTATGAATAATAAATCATCTGTAGCCTGATTTCCCCAAAACTGTAGCTCTATTTTTGCATCCCAGACTCGCTGTAATAGGCAGTAGCATTTTGTGCCATGTTCCCGAGTAAACAGAGCCTCAGCCAGGAACCGCCAGGTGTTTAAAAGCTGTGCTGCTGCCTACTGGTAGCGGGCCTGAAAATGTCACAACTGCAGTCACACATTTGTGTGTCAGCTAGCCACGGACATTAGGGTAACTTTGACCTTGCAACAAGGGCTGGGTCAGTGCCGCACTCCATTAGAGATGGGATTCACGGCCGGTCTCGCTGTTAGGAAGAGGAGCGTTTACAGGAAAACGCATTAGCTGTCTGACAGACTGCGTATGTTAATAATGCCCCCACCGTTAATGTGATGAGACAGCATGGTTGGAGCACCCCATCATTGAGACCTTCAAGTTTTATAGGCCGTGTCTAACTTTCTGAAGACTATATCCATTCTCAAGGTCCCAAGGCTGATTCACAAACCTTTGCTCTGCTTTGCAAAGAGATACAGCGGCAAACATTGCAAGTACACAAGCAAAGTAGTCTAAAATGAATGTCCTAATAACCTATAAAACAAGAACAAAGCCACTGTAATTGAGTTTAGATGCTATAATTATTTTATTTCAGCATGCATATGCTACACTGCAGTAATTTGTTGGTAAAATTTGCAAGATGTTTGAATTTGACACACAGTGTGGAGTCTGATGCAGAGACTGATGACACATAGACATAAGCGTGTGATGCAACAATGATTTACACGCACGCACAAACTCTAGCAAAGACGAAGGGGTGTCAGCTTTCACAGTGCAGCTTCCAAAAATAGCCCCCACTGAACAGAGCAGCTCATGATAATCTTTCAGTTTCAAAGATAAGACTATGTAAAAGAAAACCAGACTTCGAATGGTGGAAATCAAGGAGGGGGCAGAAAACACTCAAATGACTTTGGCTCAGCTTCACCCTAATGCGTCCTAATGAGGATCCACGTAAAAAGAAACTCTTGCTAGCATTGTTGGATTATGAAACGGCACTAACAAGAACAGGGCAGAAAATATAGAATGTTTTTCATTATGGCTATGATAATTCTTTTCTTTTAAGAATGACTTAAAGGGATAGTCCACCAAGACCATACTATCATTTACTCATCCTCATGTCGTTCCAAACCTGTACGAGTTTCTTTCTTTTGCAGACAAAATTTTAAAGAATTTTTTGAAGACATTTGTCAATATAATTCAAGTCAGTGAGGTCCAAAACAACATTTTCATTCCATGGACAAAACACTGAAACAGTTTTCAAAATATCTTCTTTTTTTTTTGCGATTCACATTAAAATAATTAAGTTGTACAGGTTTCAAACGATGTAAGATTTAGTAAATTACAGAATTTAATTTGTGGGTAAACTACCATTGAATCTGCTATTGATTTTGCAACACCTCTCTGGAGCCACTCCACTCCTTTGTTCCTGACAGGCACACAAGGAATATGGACTCAAGTTGGAACAATTTAAAACTAACGGATTAAAATGTGCATATCTTAACAGAAGCGATGCACATCCATTAACCAAACCCAATGGAAGTGAAATAACATTAAAAACCATGCAATTATTGAGCATACCATTGAATTTTTTATCATGTTTCGTCTTAACATTTTTATAAATCATCTGTTTGTCTCTTTATATCTGCGGTTAGGGCATGCACTAGTGATCCCTTCATTGCTCCTGGCTGGGGGCAGCAGTCATGTGTTCTGCAGTGTTTGGATCATGCAGTGAACAGTCTTGATTGCAAATCTCACTTTGATATCCTACAATACAAACTGCATTCTTAATATACATCCTATTACTTTACTTATGCATGTTAGATTCACTATAATTAATTTAAAATATGCTTTTTCTTTACAGATAAGCTCAAGATGAACTGGATTGATTGTATGGGAATTATTATGCGGTGGTTCGCAATTAAATAACTTAATAGCTCATTTCACATCTTAAAAATTAGCTACATTTATTAATCTCACCAAAACATTCATCAGCTAACTCGTTATAATTTCAGCAAAGGAACCAGTGATGGTGTTCTGGCCTGCACTCAAAGCAATCACAGTGAATGGGACTAAACAGCATAACCCAAAATCCTGGCCAGTCCTGCACTGCATAGATTTCTCATTTTTAGCACATGCGGGGGCTAACTGTCTACACGGAAAGAGCACACTGGCTCATGAATTATTTCTCAGTTATTAATTCTTCTGCATATTTTACATTATTTCAAATCGTTTACAGCCCTCAGCAGCGTTCATCTCAGCCATGTTACCGCCTCGTAAAAGAAAGAAGGTAAGTACGCGATTGGGGTGCAAATGAGATACTCGTGCTCAGGTATGTCACGTGATTAATTCACGACTAATTCAGAGGCAGCCTAGACCGGGCTGTGAGCAAAAACTATAAACATATTGATTTTATTGAACTGAGGGCCGTGAATGTATACAAGGCATGCAGGCAGAACAGAGTCTTAACTACACAGGCTTCTCCATTACACCACTGAGAACCCAGCTCTCACAACCAATGGAGACCAATCTATCATTAAAAAGACTGATGAGATGCATGCCCTTCACCTACACAGGAAGCATAAACAGAGTGAAATCATAAGGATACAGTAGTCACCAGCAGCGATTAACCCGTTGATAAGGTTGGGTTTGGAGTTAACCTTGAATGCAAAGGGAAGCATAATAATTGTTTGAGAAAGATATATGCAGCATCAACATAAAGTGTCACTTTTCAACTACAATTTTCTGTAAAGCAGCTGATGCACAAAGCATCAGTTTCATACATTCATTTAAATTAAGCAAAGGCCCTTCTTTTAGCAAACACTCCACAGGTCTACACTTTAGAAAACATTTGATTGCAAAAGAAAACAAATGTAAAAATTGTAAACCTGCTAATCTACAGTACAACCACGCACTTACTAACTAAATAAATAATGTAAAATATATTACATTTTATTATAAATGAATGAAAATAAGTAAAGTCTTTTTTATAATTGTCTTTTAGTCATCTTGTAATTGATAACTACATACTAAGGAGGACAATTCTGATCAACTCTATCAATATCAGTCTATTTTACAGCAACAAACACAATAATACATCAAATAGGTTTGTATATTAATATCATACAATGTAATGCCACATACCTTTAGGAAGCCTAAAATATAAAAACATCAAACCTATAAAATCCTAGTTAAGTTCTGATAATCAGTTTTACTGTAAATTTAACAAACCTTTTGTAAGATACTATGGAGGTTGTCTTGGCTAAAGTATGTGCCCCTCAGACCAAACAGACCACAGAGGCAGTGGATCATTGTAGCTGATGTTTTCCTGTCACACGTGGCTCTATCAAGCACATGCACTACTTTTACAAGACAGTGACCACAGAGTAGCACTATCACCATCAGCTCTTTAATATCCCTCAGAGAAACAACACCTTTTCGGGAAACTGATTGTTTGTTTAGATCGATTCTAAACAATGTATAAATCCCCACAGCTCCGTCTTGCATACTATTTTTACAACGAGACTGCAGCATTGCCATGCACCAGACTTTATATTAAAACAGTCCATCAGGTTTAGAAATCATTGTGCACAGTGGCTGCAATATCAGAGCAGCCTGACTGGGAAGGGAAAAAAAGACAGTGGGTGCATGCATAACTCATTTATATGCAAAGAAAAATGCGCATGTAAAAACAAACAGCCGGATGATGTTATACGAACAGCTACAGAGAACGATTTTATCTCAAAGAGAATCGCAGACAGATGGTCTGCCGGCGGACAGCCGCGCTTTAGTGACTCAAATACAGTCGGACAGTGCGCCGTTATTTTTGGACGAACAGTGTCCGGTGTGAGAACAGAAGCTACTGAGACTATAATAAATCGCACGCGCGTCAAGCCCCTCTTCATCCGCATTCAACTAGGCGTAGCAGCGCAGTTGTGAAGGGCAGAACTCTCCCTCCCCTGTGACTCTTTACCCCCTCACCTGGCACATCGTCCTCAAAATCCATATCGTCTTGCCCCTCATCTTCATTGCTTAGCGATCCGGGCATCTTTACCGCATAACAAGAAAATCACATCCGAGATACAGGAATAAAGTCCTGAAACTTAACCCTCTGAATGCCCAGATTTTCAGCTTCAGAGGAGACGTCCACTGAAGGTGAGGCTAATTTTCTTTTAATATGGTCTCAATAAAATAAAAGATGGCTGCCCAGTTAAAAAAAAATATTTCCCTTTCTCCCTCTTCTCTATCCAAATCCTCCAGTCTGAAAATAAGAAAGAGACAAAAATGGAACACACATGCCCAGATTGTGACGTCTGGTCGGTTGCCATGGCAATCCATCCCATAGTTTGCCGACACAACTAGTTAATGCTCTTCGCCTGGTCACCGGCTTAACTAGTAGTGAGAGCGGCGGTGGTCGCATTGCCCTTTTCCCGCTCAAGTTCGAGGAATGTGAGGTTATACAGGGAGACGTACGGGAGAAAGTTCCCTCACAATCCCTTTCTGTCAGACGAGGGAAGAGCATAATAGGAGCTGGAAAAAGGATTTTGTTGTCCTGCTTTTTTATTTTACAAATGTAGGTCGGACGAATTGAATATCCAAGGTCACGGCTGAACGTACATCTTTGACGACTTAGTTTAGAGATGTTTTAAAGGGACTTAAAGGTACAGTTCACTCAGAAAACAATTGCCATTTACTCACGGTGTGTCCCACAGAAAAAGACTTACAGCCTCGGTCACCAGTCGCTTTCATTTATTTTTCTTGACATACACTGAAAGTAAACGGTGACTGGGGTATTCTACCTCATTTTGGGCGAACTAAAGCATGGTGAAGCCAGGTTTGTTTTATTTAAATGAAACGCTATTTACGGGGGGGGGAGGGGGGGGCTCTCTGAAACGTCTAATTGTGAAACTGCTTCAGGACAACCCGCGAATCACGAGCTGTTGCCAAGGATACGGCAGCGAAACGCTCTACGTAATCAAGCCAGACAAAGACATTTAAAATAACCTCCGCTACACGATGTGAAACTCATTCAAAATCATATGAAACAAAAATAAATTAGCATAAACTGACCTAAGCAGATTTGCTTGGTATCCAGTCTAGTTCTTAAGACATTAAGCTGGCCCAAACAGTTGAGCCCAAGCTTGGTAGACCAGCTAAAACTAGCAACCATTTTAGACTGGTATAGATGTTTCAGCATATCATGCAGGTTTTCCCCGATTAAAAGAACTCCCTGAACCTTGTGAGTGCACAAATTTTGTTGCTATGGAAATTATTGGTCCTGTCTGACTGGTGGTAGATGAATCCTATATGCTTTAGTGCAGTAAAATAAATAGATAAAGACTTCTTAGGCTCTAAAAATAGAAAGAAAACGCACAATTATAAATCAAATGGATTTATCCAGTACTCTCTCTTTTCCTCCCAGCAAAAGACAATGTTTTGAACATACTGCTATGAACACACCAGAAATAAGGAAATTGGTTTCTTTTGAAATTTTATTGAATTTACAAAAGAGTGGCATGGATTTAATCTTCATCATCCTCCTCCTCATCCTGGTTGATCTGGAAGTAGCGCAGTTCATAGCTCTCCTTGGTGTTCGCTACTACACGCAGCCAGTCACGCAGGTTGTTCTTCTTGAGATACTTCTTGGTAAGATACTTCAGGTACCTGAAAACAACAAACAGTTAAGTTTTACATATTCCATATTGTTTCAACTGAGTTGGTAATAACACTGCAACAATACCTGAGATGTTTCAATGTGCATTCAAAAATTACAAATACAGGTAATTCCGAACTCACTATAAATATAGATACAGGTTTTATAACTAACTGCTTTGTATTCACACCACTTGACTTACCGGGTAAAACAAAAGACCCATAAATTCTGCCTTGTGTAACAATCACTATAGTTGTCAAAAATATCTTAATTGAAAGGTACATAAAGGCTCCAATTATAAGGTGTAAAATTAGTAGTAGTGGTTCTCCTAACAGCTTTTAAGGCCCTTCTCATCAGATCTTGCTTCTCAAACAAATATTCAACAAGGACAAGAAGTAAATGACAATAATAAAGCTGGCAAAGAAAGAAGCATTTCCCATGGCTTTCATGTGTTTAATAGTAAAGCTCTAAGCAGCCTGTTCCAGTAAGCAGACAGGAATTCAGCATCAAATTAAATGCATGATTATAGTCTATATAACATAAAAACAAAAAATAATAATAATTTGAGAGTACCTAAACAAAAACATACATTTGATCACAAGCTGCAAGTACGCTTCAGTTCATCATTAAAGAAATTAAGGACAAATGTAAAAAAAAAAAACTCAAACCATTAACGGAACTGGCAGTACAATACTGCGCACTTTCAATTTGCAAAACATGTGGGCTGTTAGTCACAATGATGACATGCACACGTCTTGCAAACACTGCACTCTGGTGTGCACACGTATGATTCAACAGCGTTCTGACTGTGTGGATGGACATGGACTGATTTATGGAGAGAAAACAATGTTCATTAACACATCAATTCAATTTAGACTACTAAAACTGATATCAAGATGGCAGACAATTTCTTTAGGCATAAATACTTAAAATACTTATTGCACCTTTCAATTCACCTTTAATAATAATCAAACATGTTACAACATCCCAATACAGCAGTGAAACAACAGCTTGCATGCAATTGCAATCCAAGGAAAAACTGGGAATGACAGTATCCACACTGTGAGAAAAATAAGATCTTAAAGGGATAGTTCACCCAAAAATGAAAATTATGTCATTAATTCAGGGCTCGACAATAAGGACTGCCTGATGGATGGCCCGGGGCCAGCGTGAAAGACGTTCGGGACAGTAGACGGATTTGTCACTTGCCCGATCGGGCCACTGCAGCATCGTCACGACATTCTATCATTTGCATTCGCAAAATATAAGTTTTTAAGACTTGTTAATTAAAAAATTCAAGCAATTAAAAAGCATTTGTGCGCAAAAGACAACTCCTTTCAGTACTCGCGCACTGTGTTCTGTGTGAACAGCGTGTGCACAGACAGCCGCGTCTCTGACACATACAAATGTCAAAATACCCCTCTTGGCAAGTAACTTTGTAGCTTTAACAATGATTAATCTATATTGAATTTATACACTGAAGTACAGATGCACCGATCGACCGTCCATTTTTTGTTTTATTTCAGACTATCTTCTGTTCCGTGCTTGCACAAACTGCACTGCAATCATTTTCCCAAATGCCATTTGTGTGGAAATATTACGTTATTATAATTAGTCTGTAAACGACCATTGACAGAGGCCAGAGATGCTGAAGACAGACACAAAGATGAGAAAATACTGTAGCAGGCAGAACAAGATCACGGTTCACAATGCACGAAATATAGAAAGAGAATCCCAACATTGAATTTTATATGAATGTGTTTCTGAGGGGAACGGAACTGACTGTTTTCAGAAATGGCGTTTTCTTTTCATTTTGTCTCCGTATAATACATTTAAATTAGTGTTAATACGTGCAGTGCTGCTGTGTTTACATCGGTAACCAAGGAAACGCTGTATTACTGTTCCATAAGCGCCACCTGCTGTCAGAGAGTGAATCTGCGTCTCATTCAGCCCGTCTGCTGTTTCTGTTTAATACAGATGTTTTATGTAGCATAATTTCACAAAGCTAGTCAGGTTATTCTGTTTTTGCTGCAGATTTTGAAATTATACAGTCTAATACAAATCAAATATTTTTTTCCAATTCATGATTAAAATGCAGTGGTTGCCTCTAAATTCAAATGGCTATGAAAAATCAAGGTGCAACACAGAGAGAAGAATACGCAAATGTTATTTTATATGTCAAGGCTCGAAATTGCGACCATTTTGGTCGCATATGCTCCCGAAATTTAATCTGTGCGACCTCAAAATATATTTGGGAGCATTTGTGCGAGTGCATTATTTAACTCTGTACCGACCTGTTTTAATTTCTCTAAAAACGTTCAGAGTATGTGCCTTCTGAATGTTGATACGGTGACCTGTCTGCCGTTCTATGAAACGTTAGGCTACATAACCAATTAAACTTAATCTTTACATTCTACTTTAATGCCGATTTTAGATTGGTTAATATTAGCTGTCAATCACCCAGTCACTGCTTTCCGCTGTCAGGTGACAGGGAGCTAACTACCGCGGGGAATGTAAAGGGCTGCTCCTAACTTTTTGAAGTTGGGAGCACCAGTGCTACCAAGTAAAAAAGTTAATTTCGAGCCCTGTATGTGATTTTTCCATTTCTGTACCTGAACATCTACACACATAAAAACCTAAAGCATCATTTCATTTATATTTTTGTGCTATAGGCCTATATTTAATTGTGCTATTACTTGTAATTTGTTCATTTGTTCTTATTTACTGGCTGTCACTTGTCTTTAATAATGTTTAAACTATATTTGTGTTTATTTTTGGCTAGTGATTTTTGCTGTGGTATCGAAATTGAAATAGAGAATTGTAACATTTAATTGGTATCTAAAATAATGGTGTCATATAAGCTTATTAGAATACAAGATAACATATCAAAAACAATGATAACAGCAACTATTTTATTTTTTGTGGCAGGGCCAGTGAAAATGTTGGCAGGGCAAGTAAAAATTTGAACCACTGGTCCGACCGGGCCAGTAGAAAAAATCCTTAGCGTTGATCCCTGTAATTACTCACCCATATGTTGTTCCAAACCCATAAGACCTTCATTCATCTTCGGAAAACAAATTAAGAAATGTTTGATGAATTCTGAGAGATCTCTGACCCTCCCATAGCCAGCAAGCATACTACCACGGTCAAGGCCCAGAAACTTAGTAAGGACTAGGGGTGCTCCGATCAGGATTTTTGAGGCCGATCACCGGTCGCCGATCACAGAAAGCAGTATCTGCCGATACCGATCACCGATATCGATCATTTTAAAGCCTTCTTTTTATCATTTATAACTACATATAGTGAAACTCCAATCAGGATTTTTAGACATTTATTCAGGGCCTGAATTTCATTTTTGAAAATGGGGGAATTCCCCTCTTA